CACCAAAATCTGGAATATAGTAACAGAACCCGATGGCCTGCTAATGCTTCCAGGGACACTTAACGCAACTTATCGATGGTCTACGGAGAATGACATTGAATTCAATGTTTCTGAATGCTAAACGAAAACAGAAATTCAGTTAGGGGACAACAACCTCAATTTCTAGCTGTAATTTAAATGAAACCCTGCACACGGACCTGCTCATTTGAGTTCATGGCTCATCCACACCAGTTTCCGTTTGCTGACCGACGTAATTTTTTGACCTTGGCTACGGTGAGAGTCAGGAAAGTGGAATTCTTAGTGTGTTTTATTCACAGGTGCAATATCTATAGTCCTAGTGATTATAGTTTCGGTTGTAGATCTGCGTGCGCGCGTGCCTGGGTGTGTGCGCGCACACGCATTGCAAAATGAGTTTCTCAGTTCACGTGATGCCTGGCAGAAAAATTTGTCGATCCAAATCCGGTCAGGTGACGCGTAGCTCGGTTGAAGGAATTCGTTTGCGGTTGGTCGTCCTCGTTCAGACCAATGACATCTGGATGGATGAAGTTTGTAATGTACTGTAGTGTGCACGATCTGATCGAACAGTGTGTGTTTGCGAGCGGGGCGAGAGGTAGGTGGCGTGAATCACACAGTTATGATGTGTTGCCGGTCGCATGAACGCAGTGTTGCCCGTTTGCATTCGATGCCTCCAAGTAGGTTGTATTGTGCCTCCTGTCTCAAACCAAGAAAAACAAACATGTTTGTTGTGTGAATTCCGGCGCTTGCTTTTTTCGGTCGTTTGATGTTAGAATGTAAAATAACGAGTAGACGAATTCGTGATAAAAATTGTGGGAGTATTCGATGCTTAATAATGTAACTACCGCAGTTAGCACGATAAAAACCTGATGACGAGTGCGTGTAGTTTACTAGCTGCTCTCAGGTACCTAATTTCGTCGTTTCATGTGTCGTATATCAGTGTAGGTGAGGAGCATTCTAATGGAGATCTACCTTCCGACAATTGTATTGTGTGAATTCATTAAAGAAGCATTTTTCGTTTACTACTATATTTTTCGCATCTATCGCCTTGTGCTCACGAGGGGTTCTCACCGCATTCAGATCGATCATGCTCGTTTCATAAATTTATAATGATTGATCAAGTTTATAAACGAATGCCCAAGTGTTATTTAGTAGCATCGTAG